AACACCCCATATAAGCAGAGGTTAGTCACAGCTTTGTTGAATTGTCATTATTGAGAACATCATAAACATTAACAGACATATTAGAAAATAATCCACCATGGATGAAAGTCAAGAAGCACAAGAAAGAAAAGTGGTGTCCCATGAACAAAGGAGATTAATTAGAATTGTTAATTAAATGAAGAACAATCTGCCTTCTGTAACCGACATTTACCCAAAAAGATTTACAAACTTGTGTCATCTACACTAAAAATAGACAGACTCTGTTCCTTGCCATTATCACCTAAATGCTTCAGTATAACTGTTTTAAATGTATTTTTCACTAGAAGATAATAATTGGATGTGTTCAAGACATATCACATGGTATTCCAATATACATGTCTAATGTATAATAATAATATCAGGTAATTGACATACCACCTAAGATATTTAGCATTTCTCCATGTTGTAAAAATTCAGAATGCTTTGGCAGCTGTGTGAAACATAATTTTTGTTAGCCACAGTTATCCCACTGTATCATTAAATATCAGAAGGGTATCAGAGTTATTTATATAGCCTTTATATTATATTACGTATTGTGGATGTTTTTGTTTGCTTTCAATTGCTTTGATAAAAAAAACTGACCAAAAACAACCTGGGGAAGAAAAGATTTATTTAACTTATATGTCCCAATCATAACCCATCAGGAACGGAAGTCAGTTAGCTTGTTCTGCCTCCTACTTGTGGATCAGGATGTATGTTTGCAGTTACTGCCCCAGCACCTATCTGCTGCCATGTCCCTGTCATGATGGTCATGGATTTTAACCCTTGAAACTATAAACAAGCCCCCAGTAAACACTTTCTTCTATAAGCTGCACTGGTCATTGTATCTTATCACTGCAGTAGAAAAGCAGACAACCAATGAGCAAAATAACAGTGAAATTAGAGTTCTGTTCTAGGCTTTATGACCTCTCAAGTCATGGAATTTTGACCAGGATTATAGTGTCAGACATGACATCTTCCCCCTCACCATGTAGCTGGCCTCAAATCCAACCAGAAGCACAATTAGGTAACTAGCCTTACAACATCATACTATCATACCAGTGATTATATCACTATCTTAATTTTTTTTATTTTATTTTATCTTGGTTTTTCGAGACAGGGTTTCTCTATGGCTTTGGAGGCTGTTCTGGAACTAGCTCTTGTAGACCAGGCTGGCCTCAAACTCACAGAGATTGGCCTGCCTCTGCCTCACGATTGCTGAGATTAAAGGCGTGCACCACCAATGCCTGGCTATCTTAATCTTTAAAAAGAACATATACATCCAAAAAAGAATGAAAAAAACATTTTATAAATACAACTATGCATAGTGATATACAATTTTTCTATGTGTCACATGTAGTTACTTTAAAAGGCATTTAAGGACTGAAGCTTCATCACAGTGGTATGTTTGCCCAGCATGTTCAAATCTTGGTTCCCATCTCTTATAAAAAAAAAAAAAAGAAAGAAAGAAAGAAAGAAAAAGAAGAGGAAAGAAAGAAAAGAAACTTCATATTATTATATTATTTGGAAAGTGAGGAAAGTGTAAATAATTCCCATGGAGCTGGAGTTACAAGCAATTGTTAGTCACTGGTACTGCTATGGATGGAGGGAACTAAGCTCGTGTTCTCTGCAAAGAGCAAGATGTGTTCTTAACTGCTGAGCTTTGTAAAAAATAATTTACAATGTAAATGTAATAGTTATAAAAGTCTATACCAATGAATAACTATCATTGACTTATTTTTCTGGGTATGGAGCTTGGGGCCTCACACATTCTAAGAGTTGTACCAGTGATGCGTATCTCTCTATATAACCATCTTTTAAAAGCAATAGCTACAGTTCCAAGGAGATACAGATGGAAACACAGGCTAGAGGAAGTCTTTAAGGACAAAGCAGATCAAGTGTCAGACACAGTAAGGATACAGAAATAGTGAGTAACATGATAACTAGACACATTGAACTTTAGAACCCATTAGAGACCTTCTCAACAGCACAAACATCAGATCACAAAGAAAACATCAGTAAGTCTAGTCCATTTGAAAGATTCCAAACCCCTCTCTTAGCACAGTGCCATCAAGCTAGAATAAAATCAAATATAAACTCATACATTCCTTCCAACTAGAAAATCTATCAAACAACACTTGGGTTAAAAACAAAACAAAAAAGCAAAAAGGTGATAAAAATATTGGATATCAGAGAGTATTGGATACATTTAGAGATCAAAAGAAAATCTGTAGTTTTAACACTTATATCAATATGTATAAATAAAATGCATGAATTATGTTAACTTTGAAAGTCAGCAGAGCAAATGTGCCCAAAGAAACCATTAGAAAGAAAATAGTAAATGTGGATGCAGAAAAGCAACAAAGATTCAGAATAGAAAATGGGTCAAATTGATGAAAGTAATAAAAATAAATAAATCATTTGTCAAACTAACCAGATCAAAACAGGACAGATACAAACTAATAAATATATAATAAAAATATAAGTACAGCAAACACAGAGAGGGAAACAAAGCCAAGATAGCTTTGAGCTTGGTATTTTTACTGTCAGCATTAAGTCTAAAGGAAAGTGCTGTGAACAAATAGTGAAGCCCATGGTAGGTTTGATTTTCACACAGTAAGGTACTTTTTATTCCCATGGGTCTGGGAAGAAACTTAGGGCCCTTGTACACCAAGCAGTTATTCTGCCACAAAGCTACACATCTCCCGATTGGATGGCCTAAAACTGCTTGTGTGGTCTTATATTGGGCAAATAAGTAAATGTTTTGGTGCTCATTTGAACCAGGTTTCTAAGGTTGGAGATGCAGAAAGGAGAACACCAGGGCTGGAGACATGGCTCACTAGATAAAAGCCTTACCACACAAGATTAAGGACTAGAATTTGAATCCCAATACCTACACAAAAACTGAAGAGAACCTGTGAAATCTGTAATCATAATCTGCAGTTTGAGTTTTGTTGGACCTTTGGCTTCCCAATAACAACACAGAGACTTATTATTAATTAAGAAAGCTTGTTTTTTTTATTCTTTTGAGATGAGGTTTCTATAAATAGCCTAGGATGGCCTTGAACCCACTTGAATTTGTGATCCTCTTGCTTCAGCCTCCCAAGTAGCTGTCATCATAGGCCTGTGCCACTTGACTGAGTCTCTATTGTTGCAGATTTCTAGTACTTTGAAATTAGTTCACTTTAAAAGTGACAAAAAGGAAATATTTTAAGAGCATTTACGAGAAGCTTAGCTTGGTGACATACACCTATAATCCCAACACTGAGGAGGCAGGGGCAGGAGGACTACCAGTCTGCCAGTTTGAGCCCAGTACAGATTGTCTCAAAAGAGAAAACTCCCCCCAAAAAAACAAAAACAAGGTTTAGGTCACTCTATGCTTTATTGTTAGTAATTAGTAAAACACTGAAAACAGTAATTGTCACCAGTAAATGACAGCAGATGTGTAACTGATTTGTGTTCTAATCAAAAATACACATTAGATGTATCAATGTGTCTACATGTAAAGATCTCAAAAATAAAACCCATTGGTGAAAAGAGCAGACAGCAGGGGGTTGGGCCCATGGCAAGTGTGGGAGGCAAGCCAAAATGTAAACTCTATAAACACATAAAATAAAGATGGAGAGTGTTGAAGAGCAATCTCTGTCTTTGAAGAATTTTCAGGCATTTAAAGAAAATTGGAGTGAACATATGATTACAATGCAAGAGGAGGAAGGCAGCAATTAGCATGTATTATGCTTAATGCAGATGGAGGAAGGGTGGGGAGGGAGCTGAGGGAATATTCATTCCCCAGCAATGGCAAAACCCATATCTCTCTCATACACTAAACCAAGATGGTGTGATTTCCACAGGGGTGGAAATAGCTAGAAGTTTATTAGAGCTGGGATAGAGAAGGGGACAGGCAAAGCCACAGAGGAAACAGGGCTCTGGACCTAGCTAAGGAGTTTGATGGCCTGAAGAGGAAGGCAAGGCAGATTTCCGGAAAAGAGAGTAACAACTGTTTTGATTTTCACAAATGGAACCTCTGTAAGCATGATCAGTTGTTCCTAGCATCACTTCTAAGGAAGAGAATAGGGGAAGCCATAAGTGGGGTTAGGGATCTCAACAGAAGTAGCAGAGGAAGCGATAAATATAGTAGGATGTCCAGCAAGCACAGATGTGAGCAATTAACTGTAGGTTTTTGTTCTAGGTGTCTGGGAGCATAGTGGAACAGTCTTGACTTTTTGTTTGTTTTTGACTTTTGGACATAATTTCACAGTGTTGCCCAGGCCAGCTTGAAACTCAGGTAATCCTTTCTTTCATCTTTGCTTCCTGAGTGCTAGGATTACAGGTGTGAGACACCATGCAGGGCTAGAGTCTCATTTTATGCCACCTGACCTTGCTCCTGGCCAATGCTGATTGAACATTATGTTTTCCACGTTAAATTCATATATGAATGGATCAATAGGAAGGACTGAAGGCCATGGTTACCGTTGAAATGGGTTTCCCTGTAGGTTGTGAATGATGTTAGATTTATCGCGAAAGTTTTAATTACAAAATAAAGGCTGGTGCAAATGCAACACAGCTCTGTGAGCTCACAGGCATCTGCCGTATTTCTGTACATTTCTGGGCATTTTAACTAAATCTAAAAACAAAATGGCAAACAATGCGGTGGCAAGAATTCGTGAAGCTGAAGGTCAGGGGAGGATATGAGCTCTAGGAAAAAGGAGTGAAAGCCGAAAACAATGTGGGCAGAAACCAGCAGCTCACTCTGTGGGCGGCCAATGAGGCCTAGACCAGGCTGCTTGTGCAGGTGGGCTGGGCAGGGAGACCCGGGGAACAGGAGGGGCTCCGAGGGCTCAGCCCCGCTCCTGCCTCTAGCCTCTGCTTCGCCTCACCCTATCCCTGGCCTTGGCTCCGCTCCAAGCCCCGCCCCAAGCCCCCTACCCTACCCCACCTCTCCTAGCCCCTCCTCCCTTCGTGACGCTACCTCCCGTCTCCAGGTAACGCAGAGGTCAAACAAGAGGCCGTTGAGGCCATTGCCTGTCCATCTCTCTTTGGTTGGATCCTCGATCCTCATCGGACGCTGACAGGCATGGCTCTACCGCTTCTGCCTGGCAACAGCTTTAACCGCAATGTGAGTAGGCAGGACGTCCGAGGTCCTGGCCAGATCCTGGGGTTCAGACAGGATCCGGGAGCGTTCCTCTCCCTAGACCCTATCACAGAGCTAGTTCCTTCCCTTTATTCCTGTGTGTTGAGTACACCCAAAACCAAAGTTCATGCTCCTCCCCGCTTTTTCTCAAAGTATGCCTGATTTTTTTTTTCTTAGATGACATCTAAGTACAGGTACTGGGACCGTTCAAAGTAGCTGGTGACAGTGATGGTGAAAGTAACCACCGAATGTTTAATGTGTGTCCAGTGTTGTTTTAGTCACCTTGGGTATTCCCAAAGGCTGTTTGAATTAGATACTAATTTTGCTTCCATTTACATTTGAGGAAACAGACTCGGAGCTGGTCTTCATGGTGGTGCTAGTTTTCCTTCAGGCAGCTTGTCTTTACAGACCATGAATCTAATTATTATCTTTAGTACACTGGATAAAAAGCCATACACTTTGTTATTAAATGGAAGAAACCCAGCAGGAGGCATGACAGATAGGGAAGGCCTCAATTTGCATATAAAGTTTAGTGCCACACTAGGGAGACAGGCACCTAAACCTGGAGTACAAAATTAAAGTAGACACACACACACACACACACACACACACACAATCACAACCTCCCTCCAACACTAAAGAAGTCAGCAATAAGTAGCAATGTAGCTAATAGGAGAAAAACTAGCCAGGCTTTTGTTCCCCAGGAGTTACTGCCCTTTACTTGAGTTGGCGCTTGTCTTTTAGGAGAAGGTAATACAAACTAATGGGAAGGAATTCACATGGAGCCACTCAAGGTGTTTGTAAACCTCTGATCCAAGTTTACAAAGCCTTCAGTGCATCGAATTGACTACAGATCCCAAGCAGTGTCTGTATCTGAGGTTTGGGCCCTAAAGTACCGGCATTATTTGTAGATTTTCCATCTAAGGTTAATTTTTTTTTAACTCCTCACATCAGTTAGTCATTTCAATTTTGAACATTGCTCTGTGCATTTCAGTTTCTTGGCTGATGTAAGTTAGGAGCTGGCCTCTGAAGCATAGCGTTGTTCTTTGGTAAGATTAAGTCAGCCAAAGAAGAAAGGCTCCAAGAAGGAGGGCATGAAAAAAAAAAAAAGATTCCAGAAATAAAGAAGCATGATGTGCAAAAGTAAATTTAATAAAAAGTGTAAGCAGAGCCTACAGCTTTTGGCTGTGCTATGCTTCTGATTTCTGATGCCCACTGCCTGCAGAAGATCTCAGCTCTCACATGCAGTGATTAAGGGTGGGAAGGAAAAGTGTTTGGATGAGATATTTTAAAATCAGCAACAGAGTACTGAGTGTACTTTGCTTTTTTTTTTTTTTTAACATTTTTGTTGGGAAGAATAACACATGTGCATAAAAATGCAGAATGGATGATCATGAAATGAACATCAAGAAATGCAATACTACCACTACTCTAAAAGCATCTCCCTTGACTATGTTTGCCATTTTTAGCAGGTAAAAATAAATGTTCTGAATATTGCCTGGGACTTATTTATACTAAATTACTTCTTGTTTTGGATTCAAATTTAACTGGGCATCTTGTGTTTTACATGGAACTCTATGGCCCTTTTTTCCCTTTAGCCCTTTCACCTTTTTCCAATGTAACCAGTATTTTGATTTTTGTCATTATAAAAAGGTAAAATAAGATTTATTTTTGACTTTTGGTTTGTGTTTGAAGTTTTTATATGTGGAAATGTCCTATGCTTTTTCTTTTATCACTTTTTTAGTTTAGCATTATTTGTCCATGTGGATAATGCTGGATTGTATATGTCATGTATGTAGATCCATCTGTACATTTTACTCTTGTTCGATAGCTTCTTTGGGGGATTTTACAAATGCTCTTGTTCATTCTTTCAGTATGATTGCTGTATTGTTTGGCACTGATATGGAACTTTGGTGAACTCTGCAAAGTGATAACTTTCATTTCCATCTACATTTTTATTTATGCATTTTTACTTTAAATGTTTGTACTGTTTAGTTTTTAACTTTTTACATATTTTGGTCAGTGGGTGTTCTGCAATTCTTTGCAGTCTTAAAGATTTATTTTAAGTTTTTGTTTTCATGTGTACATGTGTGTTTGCTAGGTGTGTTCATGTGTCTGTAGAAGGCAGAAGAGGGCATTGGACACCCTGGAGCAGGAGTTAAAGGGGAATTGTGAGTTGTTGTGGCTTCGGGAAACCAAACTTAGGTCTTCTGGAAGAGCAGCAAGCACTCTTAACCACTGAGCCATCTCTGCAGTCTACCTCACCCCACTTTGGTTGTTTTAATCTGTACTTTCCTGACTCCCTAGTGAAGCTGAACATCCATTTTTACTTGACTTTAATCCCTGCACTCAGAGGCAGAGACAGGCAGATCTCTGTGAGTTTGAAGCCAGCCTGGTCTACATAATGAGTTCTAGGCCAGCCTGATTTACTTAGTGAGTTTGAGAACACCCAGGTTTACAGAGACTTTATCTCAAAAAGATGCAGCAAAATGGTCATTTCTTATACACACTTAACTTTATATTAATTCCCAACTTGTCATATGGTATATGTATATCTAACTTGATAAAAAAAATTGACCCCCTACCTTGAGACTGGCCTTGTGTATCCCACGCTGGCCTCAGTTGGAATTTACTATTTAATCAAGAAGGACCTTGAAGTCCTGATTCTTTCACCTCCATTTCCCTACCACATTGACAGGCCTGTGTTTGGTGGCCCATTTTCCATTTTGCATTGGCAGCAGTAATGAGTAAGAGTTCAAGTAATTCAGAACATTTGGTGTTGTCAATGTTTTGGATTTTAGTCATTTTAATAGACATGTAGTATATCTCATTTTAATATTAATTTCCCCAATGTCTGGGATGTTGATAGACTGTTAACCATTTGCAATCTCCTTTGAAAAATGTACATTAGTCTTTACTTGTTTTAATTGGATTCTTACCTTACTTTTGAGATATTATTGTTGTTGTGAGCTAAATATCCTTTTTTGCTATGTAGGCTTAATATTTTCTCCAAATCTGTAGCTTAAATTTTATTGCTCTTAAAACAAGGTTAGAAAATATGCATGTATTTTAAAAACAAAAATACAAGAAGCATTCAAAGTGGTATTTTTTGTTTGTTTTACAAGACAGGGTTTCTTTCTCTGTGTAACAACTCTACCTGTCCTGGAACTGGCTTTGTAGACCAGGATGGCATCAAACTCACAGAGATCCACCTGCCTCTGCATTCCAAGTGCTGGGACTTAAGGTATGTCTACCACCACCTGGCACCAAACTTGTATTTTTCAATGCATTTAGGATTTTAGAGTCTTTCTTTACATTTTTGATTTTACATTCATAGTTTACTTACATTGTCAACAATTAGATACTTGCTAGACTTACCATTAGAGAATGAGATACAAAAGATGCTGTATTATATGATCCTGTGTGTATAAAATGTGGGTGGGCTGATGTATATGAGGAACAAGTAGATGAGTGTTTACCTAAGGCTATGTAGGGGAAGAGGGGTAATGAGGACTGGCTGTTATTGAGCTTTCCTTTGAGGGTGATGAAAGTGTCCTAAAATTAGATTCTCATGATGATGCACAACTCTCATTTTATCAAAGCACATTGAATTGCTCACTTTGAGTGGGTTAATTTGATGATACTTTATAATACAAAATAATGCTACTACAATAGTTTGGATAAATGTTCTCCAAAGGCACATGTGTTGAAAAAAAAAAAGGTTTGGTACCAAGACCATGGTGATACACAGGGGTGGTGATATCTTAAAGGGATAAGGCATAGTGGACAGAAGTTATGTCATTACGGGTATAACCCCAAGGGGGATATTAGAACCCCTGCCTCTTTTTCCTTATCTTCTTGCTCCCTGGCTGCCACAAGATGAACAATTTTTCTCCACATGCCTCTGCCATGATGTTTGGTATCATCACATACTCTTACAACAGGGCTAACCACCCATAGACTAAAACTTCTAAGAATGGAAGGGTTTTGTTCTTATAAGTTGATTATCTCAATATTTGATATAACAGAAGGCTGATAAGCATGGTTATAAATAGCCATTAGTTGCAGTTGGTGGCAAGACATTGCTGGGAAGATGAGACAATAGGGGTCTATGATGCCATGATACAGAATGTGTTTTTTTTTTTTTTTAATTTTTAAGAGTTACTTATTTTGTGAGTATATATGTGTATATGATTGTGTAGTTGTCTTTGTCTATGAGTGTGCATGCATATGGTGTATAAAAGCCACGGGCCAACATTGGATATCTTCCTCAAAACTTCTCCATCTCATTCTTTTGAGATGGGTTTACTCATTGAACCTGGAGTTCACTACTTGGTCTAGGGTGGCTAGCCAGCAAGGCTGAGGGATCCTCTTGTCTCTGCCTTCCCAGCAAGTAGGATTACAGGTACACACTGTCAAACCCAGTTTTGTACAATGGTGCCTCAGATTTGAACTCATGTCATGATGCTTTTACAAGAAGAATTTTACCCATTGAACTATCTCCCTAGCATTTTAGAGGATAGTTCTGATTTAAAGAATTATGTCACTTTGTTCCCAGTAGCTATTGTCATTTTATCATTTTGGTCTAATCCACCTCTCTTTTTCTTGTTATTTTTGTTTGTTTGTTTTGATACAGGATCTCTCTATATTTCCCAGGCTTACCTTGCACTTAGTATGTAGCCCAAATTGACCTAAAACTCCTGATCCTTCTGTCTCAGCCTACCTAGTAATGGAATGAGTGCCACCATGCCACGACTTGGCCACCTCTTGAAGTACCTCCTCATATTTTGAAAATTACATAATATTCTGTTGATATTCCCAAATGTTAATTTAAACTTCAGAAACGAGAGTTCATTTCCCTACATTTTTATTTACATATCAAACATGTAACTGATCATATCACATTTTGTAGTACTTCATAGCCCTGCCATCTAAGATACATTGTCATAGGTACATTCATTCCTGTGCTCTTGGCCATAGATTTG